GGTCTCCCAAAGACGATTGTCTCGGATCGAGACCCGCGGTTCACTGCTGCGTTTTGGAAAACGCTGTTCCCTTTACTGGGAACCCGTCTGTAGATGTCCACTGCGGATCATCCGCAGACAGACGGCCAAACAGAGCGCGTCAATCGAGTGCTCGAGGACACTCTGCGCAGTGTGTGCGCGGCAGCACCACGTACGTGGTCGACGCAGCTTCCAGTTGTTGAGTTTGCGCTCAACAACGCGGTGCACGCGTCCACGGGGCTCGCGCCGTTCTACTTGAACGGCTTCCGCCACCCCAGAGTGCCTCTCACTCTTCGAGGAGACTGACTCCTCTATTCTAAGTGGGGGAGAGGCTCGGAAAGCCCTTTCCTCCCAGGTCTCGGATTTGAGACCAGTTTCGCTGCGGAAATAGGTGGAATCCTTTATGGATACCAAGCTGAACATTGTCAGCAGGGTCCGCGATGCCATGGCAGCGGCCCAAGATAAACAAAAGGAGTACTCAGACAAACAAGGAAGAGGAAACTTAAGTATATTTGAGGTTGGTGACTTAGTGTTGCTAGACACGAGGAACCTACCTCTAGACACTGTTTGCTCTGTCGGCAGCAACAAACTGAAGCACCGCTTCATCGGACCTTTTGCAGTTCTGGCCAGACATGGTGCGTCGTACACCATCGACCTTCCAAAGTCAATGACGACGCACCCGACGTTCTATGTCGGACGTCTTAAGCGGTACTTTGAGCCGCAGGGGGTTGCTGACTCGCAGACCCCCCTTGACCCAGCTCCTCATAGCGAGGGCCGGTCACAGTCGTCGACGAGGGCGTCGGAGTAGGCACCCAAGCCTCGGTCGGGACGGCAAGGCTGCGGTCAAGACCGTACGCCGGAGGGGCTCCATACGATCGGACGCCGGCGCCATACGCCGAGTACGCTGAGTACGCCGGGTACGCACCATACGCGTACGTCTGGGAGTGTGCCGCAGGCGGCTCCGGACGTGGCAACAAAGCCTCGATCCGTCGGATCATGCGAAAGGTCTCGTCCAGATCGGACGAAGAGGCCCGGCGATCCACCCGCAGGTGCAGGCTCGCGACCTCTCGCTCCACCAGGGCCAGGCGACCCGCAAGACGAGCGAGCTCGCTCTGATTCCCGGCCTGGGCGGCAGCATTACCGCCAGTCCCAAGGCCAAGTGCAATCTCAAGCACGAGGACACGTTGACGGAGGCGGTCAACCTCAGGGTCCTGTGTCGGACCCGCAGTCGGAGCACTCGGACGAGAGTGGCTCTCGGGAGGCGCCGAGTACTCGTACTCGTACGAGGGTGCCTCCGCCCCTGCTTGACCGGAATGGAGAAGTCCACTTCCACGTGGAGCGGATCCTCCAGGAGCAACGGCGTCGCGGTAAGCGACAGCTCCTCGTGAAGTGGAGGGGTTATGCCCACTCCGAGAACTCGTGGGAGCTGATTGAACGGCTCCTGATTGACTGCCCGAAGGCTGTCGCAATCTGCGAACAGAAGCGGCGGCAGCTTCATAAGTAGTCCGGGGCTTCTTGCCCGAACGGGGTACGGATGATGAATACATACCGTACCCGCGCTCATCGTGAGCGCTAGAAGCCGCGCGCTTCAGGATGTCCCTTAGCAGCATACGCTTGCTGATCAAGTGGGCAAACCTCACACTTAGATCACGCTGGTCCAGGATGTGGGACAGCTGCTGATCTTCATGGAGTTCCCGTAACTCCGTGGGTGAGTACTTGAGAGTCTCCACCCACGCCCAGAACATGTCCTCACAAGAACCCCACGTGGGACAGTTCTCGGGCATAACCCAGGGGTATCCTTAAACAGGATAGAGACCACCCCGGGTCTCGGGCTTCTTACGACAAGTCGTGAAGTCCTTAAGGGGAATGCGGTGTGGCGCGAGAAGAACAAACCGAGCAGCCTCCAAGTTATCGGCGAACAACTGATCCTTCTGAACAAGGGCTCGTTCATAGATGCCCCTAGAAGTGTGGCCGCCCACAAGGCCACGAGGAGCGACGAGAGCCTCCAAGAAGAGGTTAGCCCCAGAGCTCTCCTCGGGAGGCCAATACCCTCTTGAGTTGATGACAGCTCCCTGGCTGACGGGTGCCGCCACCGAACCCCCACGAACACGCTGGGCAGCTTGGAATTTCTCCTGCTGCTGGTCGAGGTCATTCGAGACCTCCCGGGGCTCAACGATAGCACCCTCCTTCTCCTCTTCTTCCTCCATCTCCTCCTCTTCATCCGAGGAGTCGAAGAGACTCTGATAGGAGCGTCGAGTCTCCTTCTCCTCGCGGAGTGGAGACTTAGAGGCTGTACGCTTCTTTGAGGGCTTGGCGCCTTCGGCTTTAGAGGCCTTAGCGCGCGCAAGACCCTCGGCAAGCGAGAGACGTTTGCGAGGATTCTCTTCCTCATCGCCACCGGCTTTGGGAGCGCCCTTAGCCTTAACTGCCGGACTCTCAGAGCGCACAGAGGTCCTGGGACTGTGATCACCGTGATCACTAGCGGGCGACCGCACGCTGTCGTCTTTGTGCTCACTGGGCACTGGGCTGTGCCCTCTTACAGAGTCCGCAGGAGCATCATGAGTGCTCCCGGACTCGGCATCTCCGAGTTGAACTCACGTTCTACGAACCGAGGGTTCGGACGATTGTAAGATATGGGCGACGGGCTGCGGCGCTTGATCGCGCGCTTGTCCACAGCCGCGTCACCCGAGGAACCAATCGCCTCGGAGGCCACCTGAGTAGCCTCCTTGAGTGCAGAGCCTTTGCCGTGAGGCTTAGAGCTCTTGGCTTGCGCCTTGCCGGCAGCAGCCTTGGAGCGTGTCTTAGCTCCGCTCTTTGCAGTGCCACGAGGCATGATAACGGTCGAAGTGGAGACCTAGACGAAGAGCGCACAGGCTGCTGCTCGAGGCTCTAACTGTGAAGTGAGCCTCCGCCGCGCTCGCGCGGCCAAGTCGATGGTTTTCGACTTTGAGAATGAGAGTTTGTGACGAACACCTCTTCATTCTGATTGGTCGGTAACCGAACCTAAGGGGGGGAGGATGTAACGAGGTACGTAGCCCTAAGTGTACCCTGGTTACATGAAGTGTGACACTTCACACTTCAGGAGTATGACACGTCATACTCCGAGATATTTGGTACAAGGTACCAAGGTCGTTCAAAGCCAACCATTGGTTAAATACCATTGCATTTCTATAGGTAACTAACAGTTTCTATTAAACCCAAACTTAACCTACCTATAAATATACTCAGTTTACAATCTACCTTATTTAGGTCACTTCGCTCTCTTTAATTAAAGAGGGGACCTGTGAACTGCCGTTCACTGAGAGTTTGTAAACTCTCGGAAGATAACTTCCTCTAGCGCAAGGTGCGTGACCCCGTCACAACAATGACAATTGAATATAGCCATCTGCTCTCCCACATTATTCGAGCTGAGAATTATTATATTGACCTGAGTCAGGTCAATATAATAATTCCAGCTCGAATAAATGTAAGGAGAGCAGATGTCTTTTCATAATTTAAGCAATTGTCATTGTACATATTTATTGTCAGTTAAAATGATCCGACATGTACAAAGCACTACCTGAGGGCCCTCTCAAGTAGGATAATAACCAAACTGTACACGTAGGTATCGAAAATCTGCGTGATTGAAGAGTGGGGATGGGACACGATGAAGTTCAAGCGCTCGCTTCGAGCTTCAAAGCATCATTTGACGTTTGTGATCTACCACTTCCTGTTTAGCCGAAAAGCCGAACAATGACCGTTCTTGCATTCATCACCGCCGTAGCAGTCGTCCTTGTATCGATGGCGTCCGTGGAAGGTCACGGCGACATTTCAACACTGGTCCCAAGATTTCGAAATCAAGTACCGGGGCATATAGGCAACGGCCGAGCCCATTAAATACTTGTGGAAGCCAAAGAACAACGATTTTTTGCTTGCAGGTAGCGAAGCTACTTTGCTGAAGACGACGTCTCCGCTCTCAAGTACGACGGGTTCCATCTCCAGCAACCTTCACAAGAATGACTGAATAACGACGCACGTTGCTAGGCCTGCTAGTATCCGGTTGATTGTTGAGCTGTGATAATACATGGTCCCCCAACGTTGGTTTGTCTGCCGTTATCGTACGTAATTATTGTGGCTTTAAGAACTGTTTCAGAAGCCCCAAAAAATTTGACTTACTACTACGTTGCCAGCTTTAGCCGAAAAATTAATATTACGCAATTTAACACCAAAACCCTGCAACCTAGCGTGATAGACTGTTTGTACCGGTAATGAATACAATAACAGGATTACGTCTCGTTTCCAAGAGCCACTACAGGGTTCAAACCCTCGAAGGAAGGAGATATTTTCTGTCTGAAGAATCCACTGGTTTGCCTAGTTATTCATTAAAACCAGTGCCTAATTTAGAAACGGTTATCCCAAACAAATATTTTTCAATTTCTTTTTATCCGGCATTCCACAGCTCACAAATCACTAAAGAAATAGGAACGAGTGTTCGATTATGGATCTATTCAAGTCCTCGTACGTGTACTTTGGGACTTAATACTCAATTTTCCTTATCTCCAGCTGTATTGCAAAGTTCAATTCCATTGTAATACTTCGAGGTATGAAGAATTTCATTTGGATTTTACACTTAATTTTAAATACTTCGAAGTAGCGCAGCTTTACTACTATAGAAAATAAGTGGCTCTCTGGATATTTACAGTGTAATGTTGTACAGTATCGAAACAGACGTACACTTACACATTTACATTCGTCTGCATTGTGCACAGACAAAGATAAAATATTGTGTAATAGCATAGTCAAGCTCTATTTAATTAAAAGATATAGTGAGACTTGGAGCATCGAAGAGGAAGCGCAATACTTAAAAAAAACATTTCTACAGAGCAATTCGATTAGGCTTTCCGAGCAATTTATAAGCTTAGATTTTTTTAAAACACTGGTTATACCGCCAATATCTTTGGCCTCGATCCGGACGTTCTGCCTTTTATTTGGCAAATGGCTGGTCAAATTCGAAGCTGATCTGTCGGACTGATACCCGTCCAGCCTGTCATTTCCGTGTCAGCAAGACGGAAGTCTCCATCCATTTCGACGCAATTGCGCACAGCATACAAAAGTCGTTCGCGGCAGATTTCGTCGCTGGAATATCGTGGGAGTTGGAGTGCGAAGAAACACGTATGCGACTTCGGCATCTGCGAGTCCATCCAGCCTCCAGGGGGTCCTGACGATGAGCCGTTCGCGTCTCCATTACCCGAAGACGCAAGCGCTTGGATCTTAAATTTCTGGTGGAACTGTGCTGAGCCCAAAGGCAAACGAGACCGGGCCCACACAAACCGCAGGAAGGCTCGTTTATCCTCCGCTTCGAGACTTTCCAGCACGCGCCAAAATCTCTGAATAAACTCGTCGTTCATCGACAAATCTTCGTCGTACTCGGTATTAATCTGCAATAGCTTCACGTCCACTTCCGCAACGCCACACATGCGTTTCTCAAGCTCATTCCACGTCAGAAGAGCCAATGCAGACACCGGCATAATGGAGTGCAGTCCCTGCTTTACTATATTCACCACCTCTTGCGTTTCTTGGATCCGTGCTCGAAGCATAGAATCTATATATTCTTGCAGATTGTTCAAAGTCACCGCAGTATTGGAGCCATCTTCACAGAGATCAACTGTACGTCCATCGGATAATACAGTCGTAAAGACCAAATCCATCGCTTCTAGTCGTTCTTCTAGCCCTTCCTGCTTTGAATTTTGACGTTTAAACTCGTCTAAAATACCTTTCAACGTCTTCCATAATGAATACGCGACGAAATCGATCTCTTTGAGCGTTGCTAGCGCACTCTCCGGGTTCGAGTCGTCTTCAACCACTAGTTGTTTCCACACTGACATTGCCAGATCGAGACGAACGCACACACGCGTGCGTAGACAAATACCGATCATCTGACCGATAAAGAAAAACATTTCACAATAAAGTTGTCGTTTCTCTTCAGCGCTTTCTCCAGATAAACACGATACCTTCTTATCATGTATTTGACGCTCGATAAGAGCTCCATTAAGTACGAATTTCTCACGGTTGGCTCCAACGCCATTCCGCCAATTCGGACTAGGCAGAAGAAAGGGCAAGACACACGCTGATACGGATACATTGGGGTCCACTTTCAGCGACGTACTACTGGGTCCTCCATTCGCAGTATACTCCGAACTTGTGGACCCATTATCTTCGCCTTCGGGTACGTTAAGCATCTGTAACTCGGCGAAGAATTGCGAAAAGAACTCTCGATATGGACCACCATAGTCATCCACTCCTTCTCCCTCGAACTTAACTTTAAAGCTTCGTAATTGACCGTCATCCATTGGGTGGGAGTAGACCATACGTAGCGTTTTAATAGGTAAGAAATGGAGCTCTTCAAACGACTGGCCAAAGAGGGATGAGAGCAAACTGCTGACTGTTCCTTCGTGACATTTTGCTGCTGCTGCCTTCAGCCGGTTCACTTGTAGCTGCGGTAAATCTTCGGGATAATCGTACTCGTCGTCAGATTTTTTGGGTGAATTAGCGGTTTTTTCCATCAACGCTGTCCAAAGTGTGTTTTTTACACAGACAAAGAGACTACCGCGACATTGTGACACTAGTCGACACGGCAACGAGTTGGAATCCGGTAAAAAGTAGTGCCATGAAAGGTCGAAAAAGGGTAAAGCGCGACTGATGTACATGTTGCAGAAGCGCAGTATTGCGAGCCGTGCGACGATCATCTTGTCAGGCTGAGGCATCGCAAGTACATTACTAAAGGACGTAAGCTCTAGTACAGCAGTCTTCTCTTTGACAACATTGAGCAGTTGATTGGGTGTCAGATTCCACGGACTAGTGCGAGATACCTCACAGAAATCGTCAATCACACTTAGAAGCTCACGATCCACTGCTACAGTCCACAAATAATGTTCCCCATACTCAACGAGTTCTTCTCGAGAAAGAGTAAAGGGCGAAGATATGTCCACTTTTGAACCCAAATGTGGGTCATTTAAAGAGTCTGGTGGGATATTTAAGTTGTCAACTGGAGTAGTGGAACTGGGTGTTGTTGCGCTCGCCACTAAGCGTAGTTTGGACGGATGGAAGAACCACGCTCCAGGTTCATTGTCGACTTCCACCCAGATCCGTCCGCCTGCCACGCCCATTACAACTCCACTCCCACGAGGTGTGCGGACTTTATCATCGCAATAAAACCCAGCTTTTTCACATGTTCCTCGCGTAACATCCACCCAGAGGGATTTCCCGGATCGCGTGGTAACGTGTTTAATAGATCCGGCGAGCCATTCTGCCGTCATTTCGAACGTAGTAGCAGCCATTTCCACTCGCATGGGTCTTTTATCCACCCAGTTGGCCATCAGCTCACAGGCTATTAAACAGTCCTCCACACCCGCGTCTTCTAGCTCTCCAGTCGGAGGTATATTAGTCTCACCGGTACAACTATCCTTAACGAAGGAGATCTTCTGATGTCGCGAGTAAAAGGCCACAGCGGGGGACACTGAACTCACAATATTATCGAACGCCACACCCAAATCCACTCCATTTTTACTAAACGAAAGCTCGCCTTTTTCGCAATCCAGCCGTAACCCAATGCAATCTCCTTCCGTGAATGTCTCGCCGTATGCTCGTATGCGGTTCCGCTGGTAGTACAGTGCTTTATCGCCAATAAAACCCCAGGATTGATCGTCCGCTCCAAGGAATGAATCCAAGTTCGCTTGTCGAGTAGCGACCCCTACAAAGAGATACGGAGAACTAGACTTTTCAATACGCACCAGCCATGAATGCACGCCAGTCGAGAAGCTCGTGAAGGCACACGCAGCTTTCCATACCTCATTCCCAGAGTACGACACACTGAGGTTGTCGTCTGCGAAGGATAACAAGCTACTGCGAGTGCGTTTGCGGTCAAACAGCAGCAAACAACCTTCCGATTCCAACGCATCTCCACTGCTACTAGCGACCATATGAGCGGCAGGTGTTGGGGCCACGTTAAACCCAGTAACGCCCTGTAGAACGTGCAGCAGTTCCACGTACCCCTGGAGATACTGAGAGAACAACAGTCGACCTTGACTCAACTCGCGACTGTGTCTTACAACAGCTGCAGTTAAGAAGTCTTGGACAACCAGTTGTGCCTCGTTTACCATGTCTTTGTCGACATTTTCTATGGCTCTCAATACTCTGCTGATAGTGCGAAGGATGACAAACTTCAGCGGCAAATTCGTCGTGCCAAGACAACGTCGTAGACGGCGTAAAATAATCTTCGCACCATCAACAGAAAGACACAATGACGAGTGTGTAGAAGCTGCTAGTAGCGCGTCTAGCAGCCAAATAACAAGTTCAATTCCTGGCTCTTCCAGCACAATTTGATCTGGACGATGGAGCTCCCGTTGCGTCCATAAAACAGCTTCGTACGCTTTACCAGCTGCTGCTGTTTCCAGTTCTTCAAGGCAGAATTCGAACGCTGACGCAACGAAAGATGCGTCGTGCTGGATCAAATATCGAATCGACATTGAAAATACTTCATCAATAGATAATTTTTGCAACTGTGTCGACGAATTTCGCACAATAATTGCGAATTGATCCCCACGTAATCCAGCAGCTTGAACCACTGTTCAAACGGTATCAAAACCGGTACTGACCTTGTCTGATGTAACACTGTGGCCATTATCTGACGAGCATACAGGATTGACAACGTGTTCTCGAATTCTCGCAGCTGGCGGACAAGATCTTGAAGGTCAAGTTGGTTCAATTCTCTCTTCACTTTCGTTTCTATGGCGTCAGCTCGCCATGATTTCATAAAACGCGACTTGGTATTCGACAGGAAGCCTCCATCTTCGAAAGGAAAATACATTTCCGCAAACAATTTTCTCCCCATTTCTTTGTCATTTAAATGAGGGACATCCATATCGTTCTCGGCGTCCTTTGTCGTGTTAACAGTCGCACTTAATGACGGAACGTGCGTACTACCGCTCGGTATATCGTCAGTATTCACGACGTCGTCCTCTTCTTCGTCGAAATGAGGAGAATCTCGTCCCTTATCGCGTTCTTTATCCAATGTGGACTGTAACTTACTCAGATATTCCAGATTGTCCACAATCCAGGCCGACGCATTGACGATATCGTTCTCGGTTTGCTTTAACGCCAGCACGCACCAATCTTCCGGAAATCCCATCAGCATCAGCTCCTCCACGAACTCCGCTCTATTTTCTTCAGCGTCGTCTTCGTCGTCGTCATTGTCTCCATCGTCTAAACTCTCGTCTTCCTCGTCGTCTTCGTCGTCGTCTTGCTCGTCACCTTGAGCGGGATCCCAGTTCTCATTTACCGGTTCGTCTCCATCCGATAAATTACCGTCATTTAAACGCATTATTTCGGTCGGCGTTAGTAAAAAGCTTCGACGCCCTGTCGTCATCTCGTCATTAAAAGAGGCACTTTGAGCGGATGAAACCTCGCGTTTACCTTCAAATGCACTCGCCAATTCCGCCTCTCCTTCCTCCCCGAGATCAACCAGCGCAGTGTACACTTCTCGACGTAAAGAACTCACTCGTTTCTCCACGCTGTAAAGTGTGTCATGCTTCGGATTGCTATCCGGACGGGATGCTATCTCTGTAATTGTTTCAATCAACGCTGGCTTAGCTAGTAATTCGTCAACTCCAGAGTCCGTTCCAGCAATTTGTACTAGAATCTTCAGTAACGAGCATCCAATATTCAAGGAGATCAAATCCCCGTCAGATTCGAGGTAGACAGCAGGGATCACCTCTGCTGCCTTTTCCACCAATCCGTTAGCTGCTTTATGGTCACATTTATCCCACGCGACGTCGTAGATTATATTCGAATACGCGCCGTCATTCGCATTGGATATTATAACCGGCATTAGCTCGTCAGTATTCACCTTCGAGTAAAGTGAACTAGTATCTGGAAAATCGACATTCGAGCCAAAAACTTTCTCGAACCAGGATTTTTCGTTGCGATTCTGTAGTCCGTCGGTACGTTTGAGAATGTTGGGGTTATTATCCATCCGGATGTGAGCTAGGGTGTCAATTTGTGGCGGGTATCTTGTATCGGACGGGGTGTCGGGGAAATTTTGAGCTGAGTTGGATGCATGATACTCGAGCGACAGAACCTGGGCAATATCTCTCGATCCTCGCACTTCTACAGTGATCCCTGGTCTTAAAAACTCGAAGCCTCCACTAAGGAAGTACAAGCAGCCTACCGATTCCACACACTTGACGGTAGAGAAACAAAGTACGTGCTTTCCAAACTGAATACCACAAATTTCAGGCTCGACGTCTCGAGAATTCGAAAAATTCCGGGTAATATTCGAACTCACTCGAATAATACTCTGGCGCCACGTACCGTTCGAATTTCTGAAAAGCCGCTGTAGAAGCTGGTTTAGTTCATTCGCCAGCATCAGACTCTGCCGCTTCGACGACTGGTACCGCCTCTCGACATCATTTTCTAGATCGAATTGTAGCTCGGTGTCTCGAACCTCAAGAGAAAATTGATTACCATGAATTCCACGAGCCAACATCAGTGTCCATGGCACCACAGCAGCCTCGCTGGCTTCTAAAGTCCTTTGTGGACATTTGTTCAAGCAGAATCCGATCATTCGGAGCACTTGCTGGACGAAAACATCCTCCAATGTGTAGAATCCAAGGGCCTCTGGCGTCTCTTGTACCAGTACTTTCGAAGCATCCACGGGGTGTTGAAGAGGTAGTAGAGCACACAAGACACGTAACGCGGACTGCTGTACCACTGCTGAGTTGGTACCGAGAAACGTACCCCAAATGAGCTTCATCCAATCGTAAAATTGGGAACGGAAGTGAATTATTCCTTCAGATGAAGTGCTGAGTAGGATGAGTAAAGCGTGCAACTCCACGAGTTTCGAATGGTCATCGTCCCGTTCACAAAGTCCAGAAGGAGATTTTTTCTCGTCGTAAACGATGCGAACGTGGATGGGAGACAACGAGCGATTGTGGAAGCGGAAGTGGCTCAACCAGCCGTCGAAACACCGGAACGCGCCTGATGTGTGATCCGGAATATTCATTCCGGAGTCCCAATGAACGCCTTTCATGATCCCAAGTGAGCGTGACAGAAAGCCAATAGCCGAAGAGACGGAGGACGTAGTTTGCGTCATTGGGAATCTTCCGAAATGAAGCGGAAGATCCACGTTCCCAGCCGCCCATATAGCAGTACTTTGCGCTACTAACGAGCGTTGACAGTCGAGAATACCGTTCAAATAGAGGCGTATTTTCATGGCTTCTAACACTATCGCCACGTGGACCCATTTCCCGCTTGCTACGCCTTGTTTCGACATCATTCTCTCCCATATTCGGCCCTTAATAGGCAGCTCTCCAGCGTCTCCTTCTCGGTCTATATCCATGAGAATGCCCACTTCTAGTTGCCAATTACCAGAGCTTTCAGGTAGGAGTAGTAAGTACAGCGATATCTCACGTACAGCACCTCGAATAAATATCAATTGACGGTCTTGCGGGGTATCAGACACGTCAAAAAGATCATTATCCGTTCGTGTACCCGACTGGCTGTTAACAAAAAGCCACGTCGTGACACTAAACTCATTCGGTTTAAGTAACGGAGACATAGCTGTAGTCGTCTCGGAAGCAGAGATCATGTCATCGTAGCTGCACGTCACTCCTTTACTCTGAGCGGAGAATCGTTGCGGCGACGTAATGACCTCAAAACTCCTACGGACCGCCACAGGAACTGTGAGATTTGATTCGATCGGCTTCGCGTTATCCACAGCGAGTTGTAGAGGCAAAAATCGATTCGAGATCGAGATGGCTTCACTATATAATAACCGTGATACGCCCGACAATACAGGGAACGTGGGGACGTAGATATCTCCGCTTGATGCGTTTTGTACTGCGAAGTGAGCGCAGATATACCTGAACAGAACCCACAACGTCTCTTTTAGTCGCGAGAGCTGTTTTTTTACGATGAATTGAGGATTTGGTCCTCCGTTTGCGTCGCAATTGTCATACGAAAACTGCTGCATCATTTCTCGAATAACGTCAAGAATTCCAATGTCACTCACAAATTCGAATTGCTCCTCATTGAAGTGGATCCCCCACACACTCAGCAGCATAATAACGATCCAGAACGAACTGGTACCGTCCAGGTCTCCCGAGTTTATCAGCTTTGCAGCCTTGTCGGTTATCATGTCAGTTAATTGTCCGATAAACTCGTAAAAGGTTTCATTCTTTAGACTCGAGTAGAAGTACCCAGCGTTGTGGGATGCGAGCAGTGGAGTCGACGATTGGAACACAAAAACCTGTGAGATCTGATAAACAACGTCGGTTTGGATCGAGTCAAACGAGACCATAGTGAGGAGTTCCCACAGTGTTTCAAGGCCTCGAATCGAGCAACTAACACGTCGACACGGATCGACCAGTAGCGTTCGGATTGCGTCCGTAGAAGACACGCGCTCGTCCGACAAAATATAGGCCAGCACTTCCTGAGAAACATGATTTTGTCGGTTCGTTTGGAGATCTGTAGCAGCAGATTTCCAGCGGATAATCGTGTGAACAATTGTCCGTATTCGTCTCCATTTGGACGTTGGGAACGCGACCAGAAAGGGCGATTTCTCGTCCGTGTATGTAGCGTGAAGATGCCGTTTAACGGATGAAGAAGAGACGCTAAAAGTTGAGCTGGCAGAGACGAGGAACGCTGGATCATATGGTGCGATGTAGCCGGCATCTAGCTGAAGATTCCTGTGTTCTTGCTCTTCGTGGACATTTAGAAATAGCAGAAGGTTACATCGATCCAGAATCGTTTGTTGAAGAGCAGAAATGCGATCCAAAGCGCTTAAATCCGAGTCTTTCTGGGGCAGATTCTTGATCTCCGTCTTCTTAGTGGCCACACGTCGTCGCAACTGAGCAACAAACTGCCACAAACGCATGAAACTTCGAGGGGAAGATCGATTCTGCGTAGTATTTCTAAATCCCAAAGCGAAGTGATACGCCTGAGTGCCGAGCATGTTGTGATGAAGCAGTGCTGCGAAGCACGCCGCCTCTATCTGCGTGTCATTTACTGAGTGCGTCGAAGCCTTGGAGAGTCGAGACTGTCGCAAGATCATTCGATATGACGGGTCTTTCCTTGCGTAGCTATCTCGCACCCAGTCACACAACTTCACTTCGTTTTGGGTCTCGGAATTTGTTCCTTGTTGAAGCAAAATCAGGAATTTGTGAACGGAAGCAGGTCGAAATATCTCTCCGTAGTTTATATCCGTAGGTTGTTGCCAGTCTGGGGTAATATCGTCGTTTTCCGACGCTGGAGGGAGTATTAACGAGAACGGTGGGGTATTAAGTCCCAGAGGTGCTGCCAGTACTGGGAACGGCGTGTGTTTAACCGTTCGACCCTGTTGCGAACTCTGTGGGTCCGTTTGTGTGATGTTTTGCGTCAGGTAGTTGGCGTTCAAGCCACCTCTGAGTAACGAGCTCGTTAGCCAACGAGCTGAAAGTTTCGTGGTACCGTGGTCGCCCTGGTAAGTAAAATACGGGTCTCCACTCACTAGCGTCACTGCCATCTCAGCTGTCAGTACAGCCAGCTCTTTTTCCAGTCGGTAGAGCCACGGCATCGTCATCGCATCGGACGCTGACACTCCTTTTCTTGCCGTTTGACCCTCCGTAAGTAATTTACTTTCGCTCTTACGTCGAAAGTTACCAGTGCCGTAACTTTCTTTCTCTGACGATCGAGAATGTAAAGAAGAGCCCATCGTTTCCACAAAATCTTTCTCGGCTTGTTGCGCGTCGCTATCTTGTTGATTAAGCCCATCTAACAGCCTCAGTAAGTTCTTCAACCTCGGCAACAAAGTTGCCGCGAACAGAGAATTGTTACTAAACTCAAACAAACTTACCACTAGTAGTGGTAAAAACTGGCCAGCAATCGAATGTTCCATAGTCTCCAATACCTTCCCGCGTAAGGACTCATCCCCACATTCGAAGCTTGCGTACCCATTCGTTGGACTAGGCATCGTCTCCATGGAACATACCTGGCCTAGCACTTCGCAGCATTGTCCTAAAGCTGCAACTACGAACTCAATGAAGCAACGCCAGGACCGCGGAACACGATCCAAATCGTGTTCATCCACACGAAATACTCGGTCAACCACAGCAGCTACTCGCTCTTTAATTCCAGCAACGAGTTGTGCCTTTGGGTCCTCTTTTAAAGTCCACTCCGGAGTGCTTGCAGCCCAACTAGAGAGATGTTTCTGCAGGCCAGCGAGGGTGTTAAAGAACGCTCTTAACGTGCCTTCTTGTCGTGGGTTAACGTCAGCTACTACGTCTCCTAACCGTCTTGAGAAATCGGCAGCGATACGTTCGAGAAGAACTTGATACACTTCAGTTATTATCGACGTTCTAACGTCTTCATTCTCTTGCGGAACAGCAGATATCAAAGGTAAAAACCGGACGATCAGCGAATCTTCCGTTAGTCTCCTTAAAAGCGGCTCAAGTAGCAGCGATTTCGACTTCGGTAACTTATCAATAAGCCACAGATCACGTCGACAAAGCAGGCCACACGAATGTTCCGGGTTGTCTCTTGCGAGCTCGTGCATCGTGTGCATACAGAACTGACGCCGAAGACATTGACACGGGAAGAAGAGCTCAAATCCCTGCATCAACGTGGCCACAGCGTCTTCCGCAATTCTACCGACATGTTCGCCTTCATTTGGTGAATTTTCGAGAATGTTACAAACATTCCGTCGACTTTTGAGGTCAACTAGCGATAGTAACACGTCACGAACTTGAAGAATTGCTACGCGCATACATTCCAGCTCAGTGTTACGTGACGTGGCGTCTGAAGAGACTAAGATGACTGTCTTGGCCAGGCCGGATCGTAACATTTGCGACAGATTCGCTTGGAGAATGCGCAGAGTTGCCAGGATCATGTACATCTGAAGTCGTGGAGAAGAGAAACACGCCGCTAGCTGAGCGTTTGTCTCCATCTTCTTCGTACTGAGATGTTTCAATAAAACCGCGAGACTTTCAAACGTAGCGCTGCAATTATGGATCGCAAACGCCTCAAATGTTCCGTCGAAAGTGAAGCTTGCATCGAACGAACAATTTGACCTCGTTAGTGTGTCAATGGCACTAAATGACGGATGCTGTAACATGGGGTAACTTCCTGCTTTGGGGGTAAAAGGCTGACATAATCGATCGAGTTGGGCGAGTATCACAACAGCCACTGACAGGGCATCTGTTGAGTCCGTGGAACTCGAATTTCCTCTGTCTTCATCTCGAGAATCCTCCATTGCTGGCACTTCAACAGCAGTATCCATGTCATTAAACCCAGGGAGTTCCGGGTCGAGTAGTAGCTGGACGGTCGCAGAAGACAGGATGGTCGAATGTGTGATCCCGCTTGAAGCACTCACCTCTTCCTTGTCATTTCCCGAATCTTGTTCGTTCTTGTCGTCCTCTTTCCCTCCCGTAAGGACTACAGTGTGGTAAAAACCGGCAGCAACCAACGCGATTCTCTTCCCCACAAAATCGTCAATAGGAAATGGGTACACCCGTTCAGTCGTATCCCCTGTACCCAATTGGCCGTGGTTATTACGCCCGAAAACGTACATAACGCCGTTATCCGAGACAGCGATTGTATGGTAACATCCACATGCTATACGGACGATATCTTTCCCTTCTAACTCGTCAATTAACCTCGCATTCGAGAATCTCTGCTGCTGAAGTTGGAGATTACTCGTCGAGCTCGCATTCGAGCGACCTAGACCGAGTTGGCCGTAGTCATTCCGCCCAAAGGCGAACAAATGCGCCCCACTACAGAGAGCTATCGTATGGTAATATCCGCATCGAATCTCCAGACATTCTTGGCGTTCCAAGCCGCCTCGTACCTGTACAGGAGCGAGTTGGTTCTCCATAGTGTCAATACCCAATTGACCGTAATCATTTTTCCCAAACGCGAAGGCTTTACCACTAACTGTGACCACCATCGTGTGGTATTGTCCACATGCGACCGAAACGATTTGTTGGTCACTCAAAGCTTCGACGAATTGAGGAATTTTACGATCAATGGAGTCATTGTGACCCAATTGGCCGTAGTCGTTGCGTCCAAAAGTGTACAGATTCTGCAGATTTCCGTCCTCACAGGCCAGCACAGTATGGTAATAGCTACACGACACCAGTCGTACAATTTTATTCTCCAGACTTCGAATAATCTTTGGAACACTTTCGCTTGTCGTGTTGCCGTGCCCCAATTGGCCACGATAGTTGTACCCACACGTCGCTACCCGTCCATCCGTACTGACTAGAATCGTATGTTCGCATCCATTGTACGCGTGAGCTTGAGAACTCCCACTGTCCATCTTTGGAATTTCGCTTAAATGACTCACTCGAGCGGTCCCTCCTTGTCCACATTGGCCATTGTCGTTATACCCGCACGTGAAAACTTTGCCGTCTGCAGTCAACACGACCGTGTGCTCGTTCCCAGCGCCGATCTGAATAATTTCCTTCTGTTGAAGTGCCTGGATCCGCTCGAAAGATTTCCGTGACGCCGTGTCTCCATGTCCGAGCTCTCCGTACGAATTCTGTCCACAGCTCCAGACTTCTCGTTCGCCCTCGTCTTCGTGGAATATCGTCGTATCATTCGACACAAACGCGTTCGGTGGTTTCCCTCGTGTCGGTACAGAAGCTTTGACACGGTCCAGCTCTACAAGTACGCACTGGACGTTGAGCGTTCGAAATTTCGGACACCTCGCGGTCAGGACTGGCGTGTCACTCTTAGTCGAGTCCCTCATCTTGGTCATATCCAGCGACAGACTTGCGTTCATCACCAACGCGTCCTTGAGCTCTTCCTTTGTCCTCTGTATATTCACGAGGTTGTTGCCTGGACTACTGTACAGCAGTCGATGATGCATTGCGAGACTCACAGTATGAGCACTCGTTTTGACCCCTTTCAATGTTTTTTTCTTAAACGTTTCCTGCGTCGTGCTATCTCCCAAGATTTCCGTTTGTGGTTTATTGGAATACGGACAAGACGCTCCAGGTTTAAAGTGTATCTGCGTCAAATCGTCTTCTCGTTTGGAATTAGGGAGGAGCTCCTCACTGCGCACAGTTCTGAGTGACGGGACGGAGGACGTGAGTAGCGAACGTGACGAAAGTCGTAGATCTTTCATCGACTCGGACGCGTTGTTGTTAACACCGAGAAGCACTTTAAGGACCACTAAGAAGTCTCTAATTGAGCCTGTGGCTGCGGCAAGGTGGATCAAGCCATTCACTGCGTTAGTACGGTCCATTACATCCTGTTCCGTGTTTCCAGACGAGATAGCCGGTAGTTTGGGGGACGTCGTAGGGAGTGTATAGGAGCGTGGACACATATCCAGCAAGAAACGCTGGATCTTGTCCGTAAACTCCAAGATCTCAGCTTCGGGTGAACATGTAGCCATACTGCGTGATGAGCTCCGAACGGTACCACTATTTCGTCTAGAACAGAGAGCTAGAAAGCCCATGGAGCGTAGAAATGGCAGTAGATCTTCAAGAAACTCGCGTCTTTGACTCACTGTAGCATCGTGTAAGTCGTTCAGTAAACACACGAGCACTTGGATGCCTAGTGTTGCTTCCCTCGTCACTTTGTCCTTAGGTTTGGTTGGTCCAAAAAGGCCGACCGGGTCTTCTATAGTAGCCGACGGTAGTACAGTGTTCTCCAAGCTTTTCACGATGGATATATTCACTTGAACTGCTGCTATCCAGTGTCGATGCTGAGCAGCTACCGCCTCGTGCATGCTCTTCATTAATTGACGACGTAAGGCGATTAGCTGGTAGATTGGATTCGGGAACGTGCAGACCCAACGCAGTGCCTGTTTTAGGTCGGCTACCATGACGGCGGCCAGTTCTGGCTGCCGGAGGCGTCCGAGCACACACAGCGCGTTCGTGAGCTCCCGTTCATTCCGGTCTTCATTGTCGGTGGCTGCATCCGTCGTCGTGTCCTCTTTCGCGTCGAGTTCGTCGTCTTCCGACACCCCTCGGGCCGCTTTCGTCTGTGCCGCAAGCAACCATTGACGAATGGTCCTGTCCGGCACTAAGAGCACCGTCTCATTATGTGCCGAACGACCTGTTCGACGGGCGCCTTGCGTAATTTCGATGCGTCTCAGTTGTTTGGCCAGGAATTTCTCGTCTCTCAGCTGGGCGAAGGTCAGACGACCCCACCGCAAGTCTGGACGTCCAGTAGTATTGGATGCGGCACTACGAGGCTCGTAGCCGGTGCCGGTGGCCGTCCCCGCGTCGCCACGCTGCATGGTGTGAGTCCTGCGATCACGAGAGGGAAATAGAACGACCGTTGGTCTCGCCGACCCTCCAATCGGACGATTTAAGCTCGATCTCCGTGCCATTCGGTCACCACCGAAGGTGCCGAATTCGAAGCAGAGCAATCCAGTCAATGACTTGAGTTTGCCACCTTTGTTCGCACCATCGTTTGAAGAAGATGACAATGCGCTCGTTCTCGTCACTTAACAATTTACTGCGTTGGTGCATTCTTTAACAACGATGACGCTGCTCAAGACACTTTTCTTGTTTTTCAATCTCGTTGTAGGACTGCAAGCTGCCTCGGGGATCGAGTACACTGACACCGGCATCGTTATTGTCGGTACGACAGAACTTCTGGGCGTCAACGTGACGGCCGGAACTTCTCACAAAGATCTCATCTCGTACGAGTTCGCGTCTTATATCGCCGTCCATTTCGCCGGCTTTAACCTGCCGGAAGGAGATTCGGTGGTCATCAGCTCCCCGGACGTGAATGTCGCGGTGTCACACACGTATACCGGTCGGGGACGACAACAGACCGGAACGTTCATCGCCAGTTTCGTGCCGGGTAATTCCGTCACCGTCACGTACACGTCTGTCGGACCGGCCTCTGCCGGTCAGGGATACCGCATCACGGGATTCTCTCGTGGTTACCCGACGATGCATCACGAGTCGGTTTGTGGCGATGGAGATCAGTCGCTTCCGGCAAAATGCTACGCGCCCGGCACCAACCTGTCCGAACATCTACCTGATGCGTATACAAAAGCTCAAGCTGTCGCCCGTCTACTGGTCAACGGCACGTACCTGTGCACCGGTTGGCTTGGTGGCAGTGAAGGACACTTGTTCACGAACCACCACTGCTTTGAGCAAGAAGACTGGGTGCTCACGACCGACATTGAGTTCGCTGCTGAGAGCTCGTCGTGTAGTGAACAGTGTGAGACACAGCTCGGCTGTCCCGGAACGCTCGTAGCCACGGCATCGACCCTTATCGCCGACAGTGAAGACATCGACTACTCGGTCGTGCAGTTACCGGACTGCGTCGATCTCTCTCCGTACGGATATCTGCAAATGCGTGAGTCTGGCCCGGTAGTAAACGAGTCGATCTACGTGCCGCAGCATCCGGACGGGTACGCGAAGCGCATCGTGAGCACTGTCGACCGTGGAGACAGCACGACAGTGCTAAGTGTCGGCAAGGACGGAAACTGTGGGACCGAACAGGTCGGACACAACGCAGATACTAAAGGCGGCTCGTCCGGCTCACCGTTGATATCTTCGAAGGATAATTTGGTGGTTGGGATCCACCATTGTGGCGGGTGTGCGAACACGGCGATCGACGTGCGTACTGTACTGGCGGACTTGGCGTCGAAGAATATCACAATAAAGAACCTCGTGGCAACGGTGGGAAGCAGTCAGCCGACGTACGCCCAGACGCCGTGTGCTGCTCAAATGCCCAAGAACGCCACGGCTCCTGGGCAGAATCATAATATGCCATGCCACGGATCGAATATGACCAACGTGACAACGACGACGTCGAACAGTACGGTGACAGTCACGACTTCGAACAGTTCGATCACCACGATGTCCAACTCGCCCATGCTCTCGCCTTTAGGGACAGCAAAAGTGTCGATTGCAGACGCTAAGAACATACCATCTCCAAACACTGACACGACGTCAACTTCCACTGTAACGTCCAAAAGCACGGCTGCACTCACGTCTGCCTCCGTGGTGACATCGTCAAAATCTACTGAATGGGCTTTATCTGATTCTGCGACGACTCCAACTACGTCGACAAACTCCTCAAATACGACAACAGTTACCAGTACAAATACTACATCTGCATCGACTACAGTGAAGACGGCAAGTAGAGAACTGATTGATTTTGGATCAGCTTCTGCAGCTTCGCCTACTTCGACTACGGCAGCGAATACTGTGGATAATGACTTAATCGTGGGAAAGCTCAAGGCTGCGGTTGGGATCGAACCCGAATGTACGCCCAACCCGACACCGGTGGCTAGGGTGACTACAACGCCGAGACCTACCACGCCTAACCCAACACCGGCTGCATCGGTGACAACGACGCCAAAGCCGATCTTGCCCAACCCGACGCCGGCGGCTAGTGTGACTGCAACGCCGAGACCTACCACGCCTAACCCGACGCCGGCTGCATCGGTGGCAACGACCCCAATCCCGACCACGCCGAACCCGACGCCGGCATCTAGCGTGACAATGACTCCGAAGACACCATCGCCCAACCTGACGCCGGCGGCTAGTGTGACTACAACGCCGAGACCTACCACGCCCAACCCGACACCGGCTACTTCGGTGACAACGACTTCAATGCCGACCACGCCGAACCCGACGCCGGCATCTAGAGTGACAACGACTCCGAAACCGCACTCGCCCAACCCGACGCCGGTGGCTAGGGTGACTTCAACGCCGAAACCTACCACGCCCAGCCCGACACCGGCTGTATCGGTGACAACGACACCATTGCCGACCACGCCGAACCCGACGCCGGCATCTAGCTTGACAACGACTCCGAAACCCCCCTCGCCCACACGACACCGGTGGCTAGTGTCACTACAACGCCGAATCCAACCGCGCTCATCCCGACTCCAGCTACATTGGCGACAACGACCCCAATGCCGACCACGCCGAACCCGACGCCGGCATCGAGCGTGACAATGACTCCGAAGACACCATCGCCCAACCCGACGCCGGCGGCTAGTGTGACTACAACGCCGAGACCTACCACGCCCAACCCGACGCCGGCTGGATCGTTGACAACGACTGCAATGCCGACCATGCCGAACCCGACGCCGGCATCGAGCGTGACAACGACTCGGAAGCCACCATCGCCTAACCCGACGCCGGTGGCTAGGGTGACTTCAACGCCGAAACCTACCACGCCCAGCCGGACACCGGCTGTATCGGTGACAACGACACCATTGCCGACCCAGCCGAACCCGACGCCGGCATCTAGCGTGACAACGACTCCGAAACCTACCGCGCCCAACCCGACACCGGCATCTAGCGTGACAACGACTCCGAAACCGCACTCGCCCAACCCGACACCGGTGGCTAGTGTCACTACAACGCCGAATCCAACCGCGCTCATCCCGACTCCAGCTACATTGGCGACAACGACCCCAATGCCGACCACGCCGAGCCCGACGCCGGCATCTAGCGTGACAACGACTCCGAAACCTACCGCGCCCAACCCGACACCGGCATCTAGCGTGACAACGACTCCGAAGCCGCACTCGCCCAACCCGACACCGGTGGCTAGTGTCACTACAACGCCGAATCCAACCGCGCTCATCCCGACTCCAGCTACATCGGCGACAACGACCCCAATGCCGACCACGCCCAACACGACGCCGGCGGCTAGTGTGACTACAACGCCGAGACCTACCACGCCCAACCCGACGCCGGCTGCATCGGTGACAACGACTGCAATGCCGACCACGCCGAACCCGACGCCGGCATCGAGCGTGACAACGACTCGGAAGACACCATCGCCTAACCCGACGCCGGTGGCTAGGGTGACTTCAACGCCGAAACCTACCACGCCCAGCCGGACACCGGCTGTATCGGTGACAACGACACCATTGCCGACCACGCCGAACCCGACGCCGGCATCTAGCTTGACAACGACTCCGAAACCTACCGCGCCCAACCCGAGACCGGCATCTAGCGTGACAACGACTCCGAAACCGCACTCGCCCAACCCGACACCGGGGGCTAGTGGCACTACAACGCCGAATCCAACCGCGCTCATCCCGACTCCAGCTACATTGGCGACAACGACCCCGATGCCGACCACGCCGAAACCCGACGCCGGCAACGAGCGTGAAAAGACTCCGAAGACACCATCGCCCAACCCGACGCCGGCGGCTAGTGTGACTACACAGCCGAGACCTACCACGCCCAACCCGACACCGGCTGCATCGGGTGACAACGACTGCAATGCCGACCATGCCGAACCCGACGCCGGCATCGAGCGTGACAACGACTTTGAAGACACCATCGCCCAACCCGACGCCGGCGGCTAGTGTGTCTACAACGCTGAGACCTACCACGCCCAACCCGACGCCGGCATCGAGCGTGACAATGACTCCGAAGACACCATCGCCCAACCCGACGCCGGCGGCTAGTGTGACTACAACGCCGAGACCTACCACGCTCATCCCGACTCCAGCTACATCGGCGACAACGACCCCAATGCCGACCACGCCGAACCCGACGCCGGCATCGAGCGTGACAATGACTCCGAAGACACCATCGCCCAACCCGACGCCGGCGGCTAGTGTGACTACAACGCCGAGACCTACCACGCCCAACCCGACGCCGGCTACTTCGGTGACAACGACTGCAATGCCGACCACGCCGAACCCGACGCCGGCATCGAGCGTGACAATGACTCCGAAGACACCATCGCCCAACCCGACGCCGGCGGCTAGTGTGACTACAACGCCGAGACCTACCACGCCCAACCCGACGCCGGCTACTTCGGTGACAACGACTGCAATGCCGACCACGCCGAACCCGACGCCGGCATCGAGCGTGACAACGACTTTGAAGACACCATCGCCCAACCCGACACCAGCGGCTAGTGTGACAACCACGCTGAAGCCTACCACACCGTGCCCGACACTGGCTGCATTGGTGACAACGACGCCAAAGCCTATCTTGCCCAACCCGACACCGGCGACTAGCGTCAGTTTAGCTTCGAAACCTGTGACAGGTAGAAGGGATGGCTGGGGGGATGCTGTTCAACACTAAATACCTCTCGCGGTGTCATCCATTCGAGACCTCTGGCCTCCTCTGTAAGCTGCGAAGGAGCCCCTGTCCGTGATTTTCTATTCTTTATTTCTTTTTCACAAAATGCTACCTGGTAGTAGTATGTCTATCGGTTTGATTGTGCACAAGGATCGCGACGAGATTTCGCCTTTTACTCAGCGAGATCAGCCATCACTTGCGAAGCTTGTTGTCCTTGTAGGCTTACAGCGAAAAGTCCTCATACGTGAGGTTATGCCATCCTACGACGAGCGCCTCGGTCGTAACCAAAGAAGAAACCGCCAGGTGGTGCGAACATGCAGACGATGACGGGATGGCTTCTGATCAAATTACAACTTTTTTCTCGCCATCCGAGATCTATGGTAAGTATGAAAACAAAAACTCGATGACGGACCGGTATTCTTCACTACCTACAGTGTAGTGAACCACCTCGGTTGTTTGGTTGGTGCCTTGACCAGCGGCTACGTTGCTGATCGATTCGGCCGTCGTGCTACGATATTCTCGGCTATCACCTTCTGCGTTGGCACTTGCTGGCTGTGTCTTACCCCGTTTTAAGAACACACGGTGATTTTGTTATTCCGTCTCATTGGAACCATCTACTGCTCGGAGATCGTCCCGCTGAGCGTTCGTGCATGCTACGAACTCGGTACAATCATGACAGCAGTAGTTCCGGTAATCGAACTTTAAGATCTACGGCGTCTTGCGGGCCTTGCCGACATCCAGACAGATTACACGTCGACTTCGAAAAAAATGAACCTCGTTATTTAAAAAAACGTTGCTGCCCACAGTTTGACCACTGATAGGAGGCGACTGATGAGAGCTGCGTTTAAAAGGGTCGATTACCACTAAGCCGCATCGTGAAGTGCCTTAACAAACCCATCGGCGAATGTTTACTACATGTAAACTTAAACCTTTTCTGCCGATGACAATTGTTTAGTGACGTTCCTAGAGTCTGAATGAAAGAAGCCCGGCACATGTACGACATGTTGTTCGACAGGATAGTGCACAACGTCGGGATCTCCGCATGCATTCCGCTACAGCTTCCAAGACAACAAGGTCCGCTTTCTGAAGTTGTCACCGTCTCAAATGCAGGATTGCAGTTTTTGTCTCGCAGACGACACTCAGAGACGGGCCCGGTCACGCTTGACAGGCCATCCTGAAGCAGAGGCAAGACTATGCGCCTGGTTCTGAAGGTCCCGAGCCGACGATGGAGAAATGCGCCGAGCGTGGACGCCTCGATTCATTCCTGCGCACGTACGATCATTCCTGAATTTGCTTTCGGACAAGGAGCATCTCCTCTCGGACATCTTGACGACTCAGTGCCACGTAACCAAGCTCTGGTCCCACATGGCGCCCAGCGTGAGCGTCCACAGCTTCCACGACGCGGACACCCCGACGACGGGCAGTACGCGCTACGCCATCATCGTGTGCGCGTTCGCTTCGCTCGGTGGGTTTTTCTTCGGCTACGACCAGGGTGTGACGTCCGGCGTGTTGATTATGGATTCGTTCCTGAACGACTACTGCGTCGGGTGGCACAACTTCACCTACGATGACTGCACCCGGTCGTCTTCGGACCTCCCGGGACAGTGGACGAGCTTCACCGTGTGGTACAACATGGTCTACAACCTTGGTTGTCTGGTTGGTGCTCTGATTGGCGGCTACGTCGCGGACAGGTACGGTCGTCGAGCTACGATTTTCTCCGCCGGCGTCCTGTTCTGCATCGGGACGACGTGGGTTTGTCTAAACCCCGCACAGGATCACACGCTCATGTACATTGCGCGTATCGTACAGGGCTTCGGCGTCGGCAACTCATCGTTCTCACTCCCACTGTTCGGATCTGAGATGGCCCCGAAGGAGCTGCGCGCGCGTCTGTCCGGTTTGATGGTGCTGCCCGTCACATTCGGTCAGTGGCTCGCTAACCTTATCAACATCCTCGTCATGGACGACAGCAACGGCTGGCGTATTAGTAACGCCGTATCGATGATCCCTCCGGTGATCGTCATGTGCGGCATCTTCTGCGTGCCCGAGAGTCCTCGTTGGACGTGTCAGCAGAAGGGCAGGGAAGAGGCTGAGGCGGTTCTTAAGCGGCTACGACAGACGGACGACGTACGCCATGAGCTCGAAGCGATCGGTGACCAGATTAACCAAGAAGAGACTGGGAACAAAGGCATGGCTGGACTGTGGGAACCCACGGTGCGACGACGTGTGTTCATCGCCATGGCGCTACAGCTCGGCCAACAGGCGACTGGTATCAACCCCATTATGACGTACGGGTCGCTTATTTTCAAGGACATCACAGGTGCCGGTCTCTACGCTTCGCTCCTTCTAAGCGGCGTCAACTGCTTGAGTACCACACCTGGTTTGATTTGGTTGGATAAGTACGGACGCCGCTATATGGCCATGATCGGCGCTGTAGGCATGGTGATCGGCCACCTGTTCGCTGCTATTCTGTTCACGGCGATCTGCGACGGCAACGTCGACGACTCGGGCTGCCCTTCGGTCGGCGGATGGTTTATTTGCTTAGGTACAGCTTTCTTCGTCTTCAGCTATGCCGTGTCGTGGGGCGCTCTACCTTGGATCTACTGCTCGGAGATTTTCCCACTCAACGTACGTGCGTCTGCTGTGTCTGTGGCTACTGCAGCCAACTGGATCGGTGCCGCCATGACGGAAGTCGTCAAGCTCTTCCCGTACCTGAACATCAGCGGTGTATTCTTCATGTTCGCTGGACTCGCACTACTATGCGGCCTGTTCATCTACTTCTACTGCCCAGAGACCAAGGGCATTCGACTTGAGGACATCGAGACACTCTTCAGCCGCAGTTACCACACGGCTACGTCACCGTCCTACGGCGCGGTCAAGACCCCTGTGGCTGCTACCGACAAGAGCCCAGTCTAAGATTTTGAAAACCTGTCAAGCAATTTACTATAATACAACTGTAGTTTGTCGAATTTGTCGAAAGCTGTGATGCGCAAACAACTACTATTGTAATATTAAACCCTGTGGATAACGTGAAGCCGATCGAATCAAATCTCACAGTTCCTGTGGCCGTACGTAGGAGTTTTGAGGTCATTACGTCGCCGCAACGATTCTCCGCTCAGAGTAAAGGAGTGACGTGCAGCTACGATGACATGATCTCTGCTTCCGAGACGACTACAACTATGTCTCCGTTACTTAAACCGAATGAGTTTATTGTCACGACGTGGCTTTTTGTTAACAGCCAGTCGGGTACACGAACGGATAATGATCTTTTTGACGTGTCTGATACCCCGCAAGACCGTCAATTGATATTTATTCGAGGTGCTGTACGTGAGATATCGCTGTACTTACTACTCCTACCTGAAAGCTCTGGTAATTGGCAACTAGAAGTGGGCATTCTCATGGATATAGACCGAGAAGGAGACGCTGGAGAGTTGCCTATTAAGGGCCGAATATGGGAGAGAATGATGTCGAAACAAGGCGTAGCAAGCGGGAAATGGGTCCACGTGGCGATAGTGTTAGAAGCCATGAAAATACGCCTCTATTTGAACGGTATTCTCGACTGTCAACGCTCGTTAGTAGCGCAAAGTACTGCTATATGGGCGGCTGGGAACGTGGATCTTCCGCTTCATTTCGGAAGATTCCCAATGACGCAAACTACGTCCTCCGTCTCTTCGGCTATGGGCTTTCTGTCACGCTCACTTGGGATCATGAAAGGCGTTCATTGGGACTTCGGAATGAATATTCCGGATCACAAATCAGGCGCGTTCCGGTGTTTCGACGGCTGGTTGAGCCACTTCCGCTTCCACAATCGCTCGTTGTCTCCCATCCACGTTCGCATCGTTTACGACGAGAAGAAAACTCCTTCTGGACTTTGTGAACGGGACGATGACCACTCGAAACTCGTGGAGTTGCACGCTTTACTCATCCTACTCAGCACTTCATCTGAAGGAATAATTCACTTCCGTTCCCAATTTTACGATTGGATGAAGCTCATTTGGGGTACGTTTCTCGGTACCAACTCAGCAGTGGTACAGCAGTCCGCGTTACGTGTCTTGTGTGCTCTACTACCTCTTCAACACCCCGTGGATGCTTCGAAAGTGCTGGTACAAGAGACGCCAGAGGCTCTTGGATTCTACACATTGGAGGATGTTTTCGTCCAGCAAGTGCTCCGAATGATCGGATTCTGCTTGAACAAATGTCCACAAAGGACTTTAGAAGCCAGCGAGGCTGCTGTGGTGCCATGGACACTGATGTTGGCTCGTGGAATTCATGGTAATCAATTTTCTCTTGAGGTTCGAGACACCGAGCTACAATTCGATCTAGAAAATGATGTCGAGAGGCGGTACCAGTCGTCGAAGCGGCAGAGTCTGATGCTGGCGAATGAACTAAACCAGCTTCTACAGCGGCTTTTCAGAAATTCGAACGGTACGTGGCGCCAGAGTATTATTCGAGTGAGTTCGAATATTACCCGGAATTTTTCGAATTCTCGAGACGTCGAGCCTGAAATTTGTGGTATTCAGTTTGGAAAGCACGTACTTTGTCTCTCTACCGTCAAGTGTGTGGAATCTGTAGGCTGCTTGTACTTCCTTAGTGGAGGCTTCGAGTTTTTAAGACCAGGGATCACTGTAGAAGTGCGAGGATCGAGAGATATCGCCCAGGTTCTGTCGCTCGAGTATCGTGCATCCAACTCAGCTCAAAATCCCCCCGAGAACCCGTCCGATACAAGATACCCGCCACAAATTGACACCCTAGCTCACATCCGGATAAAGAATAACCCCAACATTCTCAAACGTACCGACGGACTACAGAATCGCAACGAAAAATCCTGGTTTGAGAAAGTTTTTGGCTCGAATGTCGATTTTCCAGATACTAGTTCACTTTACTCGAAGGTGAATACTGACGAGCTAATGCCGGTTATAATATCCAATGCGAATGACGGCGCGTATTCGAATATAATCTACGACGTCGCGTGGGATAAATGTGACCATAAAGCAGCTAACGGATTGGTGGAAAAGGCAGCAGAGGTGATTCCTGCTATCTATACCGACCCTGATAGGGGATTTGATCTTCTTAAATATTGGATGCTCGTTACTGAAAATTATAGTACAAATTGCTGGAACGGACTCTGGAGTTGACATATTACTAGCTAAGCCAGCGTTGATTGAAACAATTACAGAGATAGCATCCCGTCCGGGATAGCAATCCGAAGCATGACACACTTTACAGCGTGGAGAAACGAGTGAGTTCTTTACGTCGAGAAGTGTACACTGCACTGGTTGATCTTGGGGAGGAAGGAGAGGCGGAATTGGCGAGTGCATTTGAAGGTAAACGCGAGGTTTCATCCGCTCAAAGTGCCTCTTTTAATGACGAGATGACGACAGGGCGTCGAAGCTTTTTACTAACGCCGACCGAAGTAATGCGTTTAAATGACGGTAATTTATCGGATGGAGACGAACCGGTAAATGAGAACTGGGAAGGTGACGAGCAAGATGACGACGAAGACGACGAGGAAGACGAGAGTTTAGACGATGGAGAGAATGACGACGACGAAGACGACGCTGAAGAAAATAGAGCGGAGTTCGTGGAGGAGCTGATGCTGATGGGGTTTCCGGAAGATTGGTGCGTGCTGGCGTTAAAGCAAACCGAGAACGATATCGTCAATGCGTCGGCTTGGATTGTGGACAATCTGGAATATCTGAGTAAGTTACAGTCCACATTGGATAAAGAACGCGATAAGGGACGAGATTCTCCTCGTTTCGACGAAGAAGAGGACGACGTCGTGAATACTGACGATATACCGAGCGGTAGTACGCACGTTCCGTCATTAAGTGCGACTGTTAACATGACAGAGGACGCCGAGAACGATATGGATGTCCCTCATTTAAATGACAAAGAAATGGGGAGAAAATTGTTTGCGGAAATGTATTTTCCTTTCGAAGATGGAGGTTTCTTGTCGAATACCAAGTCGCGTTTTATGAAATCATGGCGAGCTGACGCCATAGAAACGAAAGTGAAGAGAGAATTGAACCAACTTGACCTTCAAGATCTGGTCCGCCAGCTGCGAGAATTCGAGAACACGTTGTCAATCCTGTACGCTCGTCAGATTATGTCCACAGTGTTACATCAGACAAGGTCAGTACCGGTTTTGATACCGTTTAAACAGTGGTTCAAGCTGCTAAAACTCGCTGGATTACGTGGGGATCAATTCGCAATTATTGTGCGAAATTCGTCGACACAGTTGCAAAAATTATCTATTGATGAAGTATTTTCAAAGTCGATTCGATATTTGATCCAGCACGACGCAGCTTTCGTTGCGTCAGCGTTCGAATTCTGCCTTGAAGAACTGGAAACAGCAGCAGCTGGTAAAGCGTACGAAGCTGTTTTATGGACGCAACGGGAGCTCCATCGTCCAGATCAAATTGTGCTGGAAGAGCCAGGAATTGAAATTGTTATTTGGCTGCTAGACGCGCTACTAGCAGCTTCTACACACTCGTCATTGTGTCTTTCTGTTGATGCTGCGAAGATTATTTTACGCCGTCTACGACGTTGTCTTGGCACGACGAATTTGCCGCTGAAGTTTGTCATCCTTCGCACTATCAGCAGAGTATTGAGAGCCATAGAAAATGTCGACAAAGACATGGTAAACGAGGCACAACTGGTCGTCCAAGACTTCTTAACTGCAGCTGTTGTAAGACACAGTCGCGAGTTGAGTCAAGGTCGACTGTTATTCTCTCAGTATCTCCAGGGGTACGTGGAACTGCTGCACGTTCTACAGGGCGTTACTGGGTTTAACGTGGCCCCAACACCTGCCGCTCATATGGTCGCTAGTAGCAGTGGAGATGCGTCGGAATCGGAAGGTTGTTTGCTGCTGTATGACCGCAAACGCACTCGCAGTAGCTTGTTATCCTTCGCAGACGACAACCTCAGTGTGTCGTACTCTGGGAATGAGGTATGGAAAGCTGCGTGCGCCGTCACGAGCTTCTCGACTGGCGTGCATTCATGGCTGGTGCGTATTGAAAAGTCTAGTTCTCCGTATCTCTTTGTAGGGGTCGCTACTCGACAAGCGAACTTGGATTCATTCCTTGGAGCGGACGATCAATCCTGGGGTTTTATTGGCGATAAAGCACTGTACTACCAGCGGAACCGCATACGAGCATACGGCGAGACATTCACGGAAGGAGATTGCATTGGGTTACGGCTGGATTGCGAGAAAGGCGAGCTTTCGTTTAGTAAAAATGGAGTGGATTTGGGTGTGGCGTTCGATAATATTGTGGGTTCAGTGTCCCCCGCTGTGGCCTTTTACTCGCGACATCAGAAGATCTCCTTCGTTAAGGATAGTTGTACCGGTGAGACTAATATACCTCCGACTGGAGAGGTAGAAGACGCGGGTGTGGAGGACTGTTTAATAGCCTGTGAGCTGATGGCCAACTGGGTGGATAAAAGTCCCATGCGAGTGGAAATGGCTACTGCTACGTTCGAAATGACGGCAGGATGGCTCGCCGGATCCATTAAACACGTTACCACGCGATCCGGGAAATCCCTCTGGGTGGATGTTACGCGAGGAACATGTGAAAAAGCTGGGTTTTATTGCGATGATAAAGTCCGCACACCTCGTGGGAATGGAGTTGTAATGGGCGTGGCAGGCGGACGGATCTGGGTGGAAGTCGACAATGAACCTGGAGCGTGGTTCTTCCATCCGTCCAAACTACGTTTAGTGGCGAGCGCAACAACACCCAGTTCCACTACTCCAGTTGACAACTTAAATATCCCACCAGACTCTTTAAATGACCCACATTTGGGTTCAAAAGTGGACATATCTTCGCCCTTTACTCTTTCTCGAGAAGAACTCGTTGAGTATGGGGAACATTATTTGTGGACTGTAGCAGTGGATCGTGAGCTTCTAAGTGTGATTGACGATTTCTGTGAGGTATCTCGCACTAGTCCGTGGAATCTGACACCCAATCAACTGCTCAATGTTGTCAAAGAGAAGACTGCTGTACTAGAGCTTACGTCCTTTAGTAATGTACTTGCGATGCCTCAGCCTGACAAGATGATCGTCGCACGGCTCGCAATACTGCGCTTCTGCAACATGTACATCAGTCGCGCTTTACCCTTTTTCGACCTCTCATGGCACTACTTTTTACCGGATTCCAACTCATTACCGTGTCGACTAGTGTCACAATGTCGCGGCAGTCTCTTTGTCTGTGTAAAAAACACACTTTGGACGCCGTTGATGGAAAAAACCGCTAATTCTCCCAAAAAATCTGACGACGAGTACGATTATCCCGAAGATTTACCGCAGCTACACGTGAACCGGCTGAAGGCAGCAGCAGCAAAATGTCACGAAGGAACAGTCAGCAGTTTGCTCTCATCCCTCTTTGGCCAGTCGTTTGAAGAGCTCCATTTCTTACCTATTAAAACGCTACGTATGGTCTACTCCCACCCAATGGATGACGGTCAATTACGAAGCTTTAAAGTCAAGTTCGAGGGCGAAGGAGTGGATGACTATGGTGGTCCATATCGAGAGTTCTTTTCGCAATTCTTCGCCGAGTTACAGATGCTTAACGTACCCGAAAGCGAAGATAATGGGTCCACAAGTTCGGAGCATTCTGCGAATGGAGGACCCAGTAGTACGTCGCTGAAAGTGGACCCCAATGTATCCGTATCAGCGTGTGTCTTGCCCTTCCTTCTGCCTAGTCCGAATTGGCGGAATTGCGTTGGAGCCAACCGTGAGAAATTCGTACTTAATGGAGCTCTTATCGAGCGTCAAATACATGATAAGAAGGTATCGTGTTTATCTGGAGAAAGCGCTGAAGAGAAACGACAACTTTATTGTGAAATGTTTTTCTTTATCGGTCAGATGATCGGTATTTGTCTACGCACGCGTGTGTGCGTTCGTCTCGATCTGGCAATGTCAGTGTGGAAACAACTAGTGGTTGAAGACGACTTGAACCCGGAGAGTGCGCTAGCAACGCTCAAAGAGATCGATTTCGTCGCGTATTCATTATGGAAGACGTTGAAAGGTATTTTAGACGAGTTTAAACGTCCAAATTCAAAGCAGGAAGGGCTAGAAGAACGACTAGAAGCGATGGATTTGGTCTTTACGACTGTATTATCCGATGGACGTACAGTTGATATCTGTGAAGATGGCTCCAATACTGCGGTGACTTTGAAAAATCTGCAAGAATATATAGATTCTATGCTTCGAGCACGGATCCAAGAAACGCAAGAGGTGGTGAATATAGTAAAGCAGGGACTGCACTCCATTATGCCGGTGTCTGCATTGGCTCTTCTGACGTGGAATGAGCTTGAGAAACGCATGTGTGGCGTTGCGGAAGTGGACGTGAAGCTATTGCAGATTAATACCGAGTACGACGAAGATTTGTCGATGAACGACGAGTTTATTCAGAGATTTTGGCGCGTGCTGGAAAGTCTCGAAGCGGAGGATAAACGAGCCTTTCTGCGGTTTGTGTGGGCCCGGTCTCGTTTGCCTTTGGGCTCAGCACAGTTCCACCAGAAATTTAAGATCCAAGCGCTTGCGTCTTCGGGTAATGGAGACGCGAACGGCTCATCGTCAGGACCCCCTGGAGGCTGGATGGACTCGCAGATGCCGAAGTCGCATACGTGTTTCTTCGCACTCCAACTCCCACGATATTCCAGCGACGAAATCTGCCGCGAACGACTTTTGTATGCTGTGCGCAATTGCGTCGAAATGGATGGAGACTTCCGTCTTGCTGACACGGAAATGACAGGCTGGACGGGTATCAGTCCGACAGATCAGCTTCGAATTTGACCAGTCATTTGCCAAATAAAAGGCAGAACGTCCGGATCGAGGCCAAAGATATTGGCGGTATAACCAGTGTTTTAAAAAAAACTTTAAGCTTATAAATTGCTCGGAAAGCCTAATCGAATTGCTCTGTAGAAATGTTTTTTTTTAAAGTATTGCGCTTCCTCTTCGATGCTCCAAGTCTCACTATATATGCTCATCTTTTAATTAAATAGAGCTTGACTATGCTATTACACAATATTTTATCTTTGTCTGTGCACAATGCAGACGAATGTAAATGTGTAAGTGTACGTCTGTTTCGATACTGTACAACATTACACTGTAAATATCCAGAGAGCCACTTATTTTCTATAGTAGTAAAGCTGCGCTATTTAACATCTACTTCGAAGTATTTAAAATTAAGTGTAAAATCCAAATGAAATTCTTCATACCTCGAAGTATTACAATGGAATTGAACTTTGCAATACAGCTGGAGATAAGGAAAATTGACGATTAAGTCCCAAAGTACACGTACGAGGACTTGAATAGATCCATAATCGAATACTCGTTCCTATTTCTTTAGTGATTTGTGAGCTGTGGAATGCCGGATAAAAAGAAATTGAAAAATATTTGTTTGGGATAACCGTTTCTAAATTAGGCACTGGTTTTAGAGAATAACTAGGCAAACCAGTGGATTCTTCAGACAGAAAATATCTCCTTCCTTCGAGGGTTTGAACCCTGTAGTGGCTCTTGGAAACAAGACGTAATCCTGTTATTGTATTCATTACCGGTACAAACAGTCTATCACGCTAGGTTGCAGGGTTTTGGTGCTAAATTGCGTAATATTAATTTTTCGGCTAAAGCTGGCAACGTAGTAGTAAGTCAATTTTTTGGGGGCTTCTGAAACAGTTCTTAAAGCCACAATAATTACATACGACAACGGCAAACAAACCAACGTTGGGGGTCCATGTATTATCACAGCTCGACAACTAACCGGGTACTAGCAGGCCTAGCAACGTGCGTCGTTATTAAGTCATTCGTGAAGGTTGTTGGAGATGGAACCCGTCGTACTTGAAAGCGGAGCCGTCGTCTTCAGCAAAGTAGCTTCGCTACCTGCAAGCGAAAAATCGTTGTTCTTTGGCTTCCACAAGTATTTAATGGGCTCGACCGTTGTCTATATGCCCCGGTACTTGATTTCGAAATCTTGGGACCAGTGTTGAAATGTCGCCGTGACCTTCCACGGACGCCATCGATACAAGGACGACTGCTACGGCGGTGATGAATGCAAGAACGGTCATTGTTCGGCTTTTCGGCTAAACAGGAAGTGGTAGATCACAAACGTCAAATGATGCTTTGAAGCTCGAAGCGAGCGCTTGAACTTCATCGTGTCCCATCCCCACTCTTCAATCAAGCAGGTTTTCGATACCTACGTGTACAGTTTGGTTATTATCCTACTTGAGAGGGCCCTCAGGTAGTGCTTTGTACATGTCGGATCATTTTAACTGACGTTAAATATGTACAATGACAATTGCTTAATAATATAGCCATCTGCTCTCCAACATTATTCGAGCTGAGAATTATTATATTGACCTGAGTCAGGTCAGTATTGAAATCCCGGCAAGTATGTAAAGAAATCACACATTTGTCTGTTCACAATTTGACACCCCTCATTTGCATATAGAAAGTAAAAATACTCATTGCTTATGTGCTGAAGATGTTGACGCATCGAGCAAAGTACAGTATATTCAACAAAAGCTGCTCAGCAGGATTTATCGCATACGGGTGGCCGTAATTTATCGGAGAGCGTCAACATGGTAATGTTCATAGTTTGCGGGCACCCCACATATACCAAATCGTAAGCGGACCCTGTTCACTATGAGAATTACGATGTTAATAAATTACGGCCACCGTGTCTCACTACAGTTAGGTGTGTAATGAAAAAATCACCTCAACTTGGACGGAATCGTTGGAATTCGTCTCTGATTTCTGCAAGGGAAAACGCGCGTGACCCACAAAAAAGACTTCCACTTCATGACACGATGCTCCTACTCCCAAATCTCCTTGCGTCTGCCCGTCCTATTAGTCAACGAAGGCTGTCGCCATTCTTCGTCGCTATGCCCTGAAGGCGTCTTATCCTCTAAATCTGTATCGAAACTGGCCTCTGTCTTTTTCTCAACTGTAGCTGTCGCAATTGTACCAGCGTTTGGACTCGACGTGACCTCCCCGTAGCCGGTAACGTCCCCGATCAGACATTCCTCGGTGATCCTTGCTCCTTTGAAAATGGCACAAAGATCGCGCGGGTCCTGAAGCAAACGAGAAAACTCTTCGAGGAAGTCTAGTTCGAAGTCAAACGAGATAATGTTGTGCGTCTGCGTGTTGAAGGTGAAGTCGATCCTCCCAACACCATTGCACACACGCCCCAACATCTTCGTCACAATGCGTGGATATTGTCGTAGTGCTTCAGGAAACATGACCTCCACCGTGTCTCGTGTTACGATGTGTTTGTAGCTGGCATAGGACGTGACGACCGTGTGCCCTTCCATCGAGAGGACTTGAGACCGCAAGTAGTGAAATTCGAGGCCGGAGAGCGCCTTTGTGTATTCTTCCCACTGATGCAGCATCACTCCACGTCCGTTGAAGTCACCGATACTCAGGTTCTCGTCCATAGTTTGCATAACGTACTGAGTCGCATCAAGCGGGGAGCCTGGACGATAGCCGTTCTCAAATACACGGTGGTACTCTTGCACTGTCTTGACGTAGTAGCCATCCAGCGCATCACGACGATTGAAAGTGCGGGCGTCAAGAATATGCTGATACTCTGCCAAGCGTTGGATCTCCTGTTGAAGATGCATGACGTCCAGCTCCAAGTTATAGAGCTGCGAAGCCTGGAATCGCGCGTCCGCCATTTGAGCTTCTTGCGTCGATTGGTGGCTCTTCTCTCTGCGGCGAGTGCTGTGACGGCTGGTACTCGCGGTGCGAGA